GGGGGGGGGGGGGGGGGGGGGGGGGGGGGGGGGGGCACCAGTGAGTGAAAAGATTGCTGAGGCACACTGGAGGGGCAATTAATTGGTGTCAAAGCCAGATAGGAGTCCTCTGCTCCCAGCAGCTCTGTCCATTTTACTGTTTATTTGTCCAACTTGTCCGACCGTGCTGTTCATCTCGCCGTAAGGCAGAGCAGGAAGAAATTTAATGAGGCACTAGTGAAGGAAGAAGAAGAGAAAAAAAACATGATAGACTGTGGAGACGTTCCTCTATCTTTTTAAAAAATATATATATAGAGAGATAATATGTCAATAAAATATTCTTGTTTTTCTTAGTGAATGTTACGGCTCTGTTTATGGAAACAACCAACAGTTGACGGTCGGACCAGGGTTTGATGCTGCAACTGGACCTGGAGACTGTGGAGACGTTCCTCTATCTTTTTAAAAAATATATATATAGAGATAATATGTCAATAAAATATTCTTGTTTTTCTTAGTTCATGTTACGGCTCTGTTTATGAAAATAACCAACAGTTGACGGTCAGACCAGGGTTTGATGCTGCAACTGAACCTGCTGAAGTACTGTATTTGCAGTACTTCACTGTGAGATACTTCAAAGCTGGACTCAGTCATGCAGCTGGTTCATGTTACGGCTCTGTTTATGAAAATAACCAACAGTTGACGGTCAGACCAGGGTTTGATGCTGCAACTGAACCTGCTGAAGTACTGTATTTGCAGTACTTCACTGTGAGATACTTCAAAGATGGACTCAGTGATGTCTGTGTCTGTGTCTGTGTCTGTGCTCTTCATGATCTGCAGTATTTAAAGACAGCCTTTAATCATGAGCAGGAAATGTGTCATGTTCTCATCCTCACACGTACGAGGAGGGAAAAAACATGACTCTGAAGTTTAAAATAAAATATATTTAATCACAGAGATACAATCAAACCGCTCTGTCACAGGTAAAATACATGTTGAAGATTTATTTATTTTAAAAAATATATATTCAGTCCATTAATCTAATCTAATGTCATCTAATCCAGTTAAGAACATTATGATTACAGTGGATGTTGTTTATTTATCTAATCTAATCTAATCTTGTAATTATAATCTAAGATAAATGAACGTAAACAATGAAAACACTGAAGGTATTTTCTCTTTAATTATTATTCCAGTGATTTTTTTTTTTTTTTTTTGTAAATGTAAATTTGAGAGCGAGGTTAAAATCCTCAGAAAATCATTGATATTCATGACATTAAACCCAGGTTTTCAAGGAGCTTCTGGGGGGGAGGGGGGGAGGTTGGACTGTGAGAATTGAAGTATTTATTTATTTATTCCATTTGTTGACGTGACAGTTGTGTTTGCTCATCATCAGCCACACAGAGGCGGCCGCGGCTGAGGTGGCTGCCTGCGTAAAAGAACTTCAGACTCTAGAGGTCTCCATCCTTCAGCATCCCTCCTCGGCACGCACCTATTCCCCCTCCTCCTCCTCCTCTTCCTCCTCCCCCTCCTCCTCCTCTTTCTCCTCCTTTTCCTCCTCCTCCTCCTCCTTCTCTCTGGCGTTTTGTGCAGCCGAGGAGTAAAGAAGGAGGGTCGGAGCTGCCAGAGAACAGAGAGGGGACGACGCCTTTCACGCCAGAGCCACACACACACACCGACACACACACACCGACACAGACACGCAACACGCGGCGAACTTTGATTTTCACGCCAACTACAGGCTGCAGATGAGATGCCGATGAGGAGGGAATGAGCCACGTTTCTCCTCAGCGGGAGCCGTAGATGTGTCGGGCGCGTGCATCAACACACGGTGATGGTGATGATGATGATGGTGGAGGAGGAGGTGGTGGTGATAACAACGTCCTTGGACTCATGTGGCCAGTGAAGATCCGTGTGTGTGTGTGTGTGTGATTCCGCTGACGGTGCCGCTCGGTCGGTCCTGTACTTCGGTCAAGCCGAATGAACGTGAAGGCGCCGTGAGCGCATTGTTTCCAGCTCCGCTGCATTTTTTCCGTACATATTCATATATGGGATTTCCAGCCGTGATGTCGGCGACATTCGGCTCTTTGTTTCTGGGTAAGTCACTTCCATTTTTTATTACGGAATAATTGGTTTAAAAAAAAGGAGCGTCTCCTTCTTCTTCTTCTTTTTCTTCTTCTTCCTTTGTCGTCTGTCATTTGTCACTGCTGTCTGTGCTGATACACTGACGTTGGGTTTTTTGTTTTTTTTTTGGTTTTTTTTATTTAAAGCTTACACATTTCTTTTGTCAGACAAATGTTCTCGGATGATGATGTCAGAATATATTTATACTCCTTTTAACGTCTATTGTCACCGCAGGACTTTTTTGAAGCTCATGTCTGAGGACTCTGTCTGTTTTTCTACTGTATGTTGTTGTGTTGGAGACATTGCGGGGGGCAGGAGGGGGGGTAAAAGAGCACAGAGCTGCAGGCTGATTCACTTGTCTGAGGGGCAGAGGTTAAATGAAAATAAATAAATAAATAAATAAATAAATTAGGAGGAGGGGGGGGGACTTCATCTCGACCCCTCCCTCTATGATGGTTCCTACCTCAGAGTTAGAGTTAAGGCGTGAACTGACCTCAAAATACAACAGGATCGACTTGGAAAATAATGTGTAAATATATATATATATATAGAGAGAGATTTTTTCTTTTTGTCGTTTTAAGGCTTTGAAAAAGGAATGTATGTAAAACTAACAAACAATCGTTCTGACTGTGTGTCAACGTCACCACGACTGACAACCGTAACCAGGTGCAAAGTTAAGTTTTTTTTTGGTTTAACTCCACCATGTTTGACTGTAGTGTCTGACATTAACAATGACTTCCAGTAAGAGGTGTCACACTTCCTCCCTGCTGCGGTGAGCAGGGAAAAAAAAAAAAAAAAAAAAAAAACTCCCTCAGCTGCTGAGCAACTGGGGTGTAACTGGGTAAAAAGCGGTTTTGATTCTGAGTCAGCTTTGTTTTAAGGAAGTTTGGAGAAATCTCTGAGTTACGATCAGGTGAAGGAGCTGAGATTGATCTGAGTCAACGATCCAATCCCCTGTGTTTGGAGTCCTTCTCCGCTCCTTTGTTTTTCCCGTGTAGAGGCAGAAAGTGGAACATGTTGTGTTTAATTTTTAATCTGATTGGTGTAAAGTCGCAGCTCGCTCGTGTCCTTCTACTTGTGATATAGCTGGTCTTCAGATTCAGGATTTGTAGGACGTGTTCTGCTCTTCTTATTCTCCAACTTCCACATTGAGATGACCGAGAGGAGAACCCTGCTCTCCTATGGAGCCCGATGCATTCTGGGTAAAAGCTTCAATCCCTTGTGACCCCTGGATAAGATAAGCTTAAAGAGGATGGAAACATTGACCTGTGGTGTGGACAGAGGTTGTGTTTGTCACAGAGTGAATCTGTTCTCGGAGCCGATGGTCAAACCAACGTAGACGTATTTTGCGTTAGTTTTCTCTGTCGTGTATGATTTAGAAGAATGACCAAAGTATGTACATCAGTGAAGTAGTTTCTGTTCTTCAGAAATGAACAAACCTCAGTGAAAAAGACAAAGTTCTGCTTTTCTTAAAATAACCACCGACTGATACCAGAGAATTAAGTGACTTCTTGTTGCCATGGTGAGGCATTTTCCCTCTTCATATGTCATCAAAGCATGAAAAGCTTCATGCAGCTAAAAGAAAAGAAAAAATAAAACTATTGAACTTAATTACTTTAATTGCAACCTGCAAAATACGGTTGTCGCCGCAGAAGAAAAGTTGACAAAGGAACGACGTGGGGCGTTTTGAGTCGGTGCTGCTCAGATGTTGTTGTTGTTGTTGTTCCACCGGAGGATCTTAAGGTTATGGAGCGTTTTAATTCAGGAGCAACGCTGACCAGAGGAAGTGGCTGTTTTATTACGGAGGATCAATAGTCGTTAATCCAGCCTCGTTTCCTCTGTTTTTTTATTGGCCATCGTCCTGGCAAGTCATGTGATCTCCTTAATTTAATATCTCCAGGAGACGTGATCTCCACGGTTCACGTCACTGACGAGTGGAGCCAATAATTGGCACAGAAAGATCATTTATGAAGTAGCTAACAAACGACAAAAAAAAACATTGTCGAAACAACGGGAGACCTCAGTGACAGGTCGCTTCTCTGTCCTCATCTTAGGATTGAATGAAGAACTAAAAACACGGCGTAAGTCACTTGACTTTTTTGCGTGAGTTGAGAACCAGTAACCAGTGACTTGGAGCATCATCATCATTTATTTTGGAATATATTTTGGGGTCAGTTTGATCCTGTAATGCTAC